GGAAGATGTGAGTTCAAATCTGGCCTCAGACACTAGCTGTGTGACCCTGGGCCAGTCACTTAACCTCTTTACCTTAATCCACTGGCGAAGGAAATGGCAAACCACTCCAATATCTTTGCCAAGAAAATCCCAAGGACGGTACTGGCGTGCTATGGTCCACAGTATCCCAAAAAGTTGGACAGAACTGAATGACTAACAATTTACTAAGATGGTATAGGAAGAATAGTAGACAGAAACATATACTGTACCTGCTCTCCCCAAAATAAGAATGTGCTCTCTATCCCTGCACATACAAGGTCCATGGAGAGAGTGGACTCAAAATTAAAGTATAAAGTTAGACAAATGTAAAGAGCACGTGGAGCTGAGGGGACCTCAAGATTCCGGCCCTGGGGGTCCTTTCCTCCAATTGTGCAGTCCTCACGAAATTCTCCCAAGAAACAGCTCTCAGCTGGTCTCTGAGGATCAGAACCTTTTTTGAATCCACAGCCAGTATTTTTATCACAAAACATAACAAACCCTGAACTAATGCTGTCTTCCATTTTCTGTCATCAACCACTACTACTTCATCAGATTCTGCCTGATGGATTTCTTGGTTACCTGAGCTCTTGCATCTCAGAATATTCATTTCCCTGAGATCAGGAAAAAATGTACACAAAAGAAAAGTGTGCTTGCACATGTGAGCAACCAGGTGAGAAATAGGGCAGCTGTCCTTACCACTACCTGCTTCACAACAGTTCTGCCCCACTTCCGGCCAAGAAGGAAAAAAACCAGAGCCAAGTCATGCTTGTTCTATGCAAACCCATTTTTGGCTCAACATTTCCTGAGTCATCAATCCTTCTAGGTTGTCAGGCAATTAGGAGACTTTTTGTTATAGCACAGTAGCAGCTCCTCAATCGTCATGACTAGAAACAGGTTTCCCAAAGTTCCCAGTGTTGGATTGAAACCAGGTAGGAATATCTGAATGTACTCTGTAGTGTCTACCAAGAAGGGTAAATCTCTACTCTATCATACTCTAAACACTGGGTCCTCGCTGACGAAGTCTCCCTTTACACTATGAACATACAATGTTTGGCTCACAATCTATATAGCATGGGATCCTCAATCCTATGAAACTTGTATTGTACCTATGTCTCAGTGTGGGCAGCTAGGTGGTGCAGTGGACAAAGAGCCCATCCTGGAATCAGACACTTCTCTTCCTAAGTTCAAATCTGGCTTCAGACAATTACTAGCTGTGTGAGCCTGGGAAAGTCACTTAGCCCCATTTGCCTCAGGTTCCTCATTTGTAAAATGAGCTGGAGAAGGAAATGGCAAATCACTCCAGTATCTTTGCTAAGAAAACCCCTAAATTGGGTCACAAACAGTTGGGCATGACTGAAACAACTGAACAAACGCCAGTGTACGTGTAGGTTTGATTTGGTAGAATAAGTTTAAAACCTAAGCTCTCAAACCTGACAAAAGAACACATATGTGTATATGTGTACATATATGTAAACACACATACATATGTATTCCCCCAGTATAAGAATCTGCATGTTATGTTAAAGGTTAACTATCAATTCAGTATTAAAATCATATTTATAAATAACATAATTTAGCAGGCATGTGTTACATCAAATATTTATATAATTAGGTAGTTTCCCCCAAACCTATTTAGCAAATCCTGCCAAATTCTAGTAAGGACAAATAAAAACTTTATTAAGAACATAATAACAATTACATATTATTAGTTTCTTTTACAATGAATTACTTTTTTAATTTAGATTTTTCAAAATAGGGGAGGGAGATATAAAGATCAGGAAAGATGCCAGCAGAGAAAATATACAAAATGCAGTAAATCATTCCTATACAAATGAAAACATTCAACACAAACGCCCACCAAGACAATCCTTGTTATAATATGTGAGAAGACAAAACAATAGTAATCACATGATCTGCAGCAGCCAAAACTTACTAGTTTCTAATGCTTCTCCCTTTAAACAATCATTATTTCTTGAATTGGCTGACACACACAATAATGATTCAAATGGGATTCTCGATAGTGGGAGCTTCTCATAAGAAGTTTATTGCTCATAGAAATGAACACTTTATGGAAGAAAAATAGATAATTTGACAAAAGCCATTATTAATGCTGTTGGGAATAGGGAGAGGGATAAAAAATTGGCAATCCATTATATCCAAAATGGGATATCAGTCGAAAATAACTTATATCACAGGAAGCACATGTACAATCTATTTTAAGAATTTATTGAAATAAAAATGAAATGTTTATATTTATGCAAAGTCAGCAGAACATTTTCTTTACAATCCTTTGAGGCAGGTAGTACAAGTTTTATTATACCAATTTTAGCAAATTCAGGGTTTTTTTTTTTAAGTGGAAAGAAGGAATCTTCCTGATTCTATTTCCCTGGCACACATCTGGAGCACCAAAAAGGTACCATTATCTCCCTCCTGTCTCTTACCACATTCCACTTCTTGTGTATAGCATCTGTTTTTTCTTCATCTGTTTTCTCTCTTCATGACTGATAACTGCAGCCCTATTTACCTTTGAGGTTAAAATCACAGACTCTCACTTGGAAGGGACCTCAGATGCATATTAAAACTAAATGTCCCCAAAGTCTTACTGCAGTTCTGAGCTATTACAGCTTGAAACTTTGCTCAGACTTTTGGAATATGCTGTATGTGCACAAGAATGCTCATATTACATCTTCTACTTGTGAGCCCACAGTCTTCATTTGGAGACTTCAAGGTGGAAGACCCACCATTCCTGAGACAGCCATTCCCATTTTGGAAAGCTCTAGTTAAGAAATTTTTCCTGACACTGAGTATAAATATGAGCCTGTGCAGCACCGCAGGCTGGCCCTTTCTCTGAAATTTATAGCTGCCTAGAACAGTGATGTCAAAGTCAAATAGAAACTGAGGACCACTAAACCTTCCGAATGATCCCTGTAAGCTGCATATTGATTTAGTTTTACAATGTAATATTTTATTGTATTTTTATTTATTTTGTTAAATATTTCTCAGTTACATTTTAATCTGATTCAGGTTGTATTTGGCAGTGTTGTGTGTTTCTTGTTTGACACCTCTAGCCTGGAATACTGAAAGTTTAAGTGACTTGGTCTAGCTAACAGGTGTCAGAGGCAGAAACGAAGCCTAGGTTTTCCTGACTTCCTATGTATATAAGAGGCAGGTAGCTGGTGGCACAGTGGATAGAGCCCTGGGCCTAGAGTCAGGAAAATGCCAGTTCAAATCCAGCCTCAGACACTTATTAGATATGTGACTCTGGGCAAGTCATCTCTGTTTGCCTTAATGCAAACCAATCTAGTACCTTTGCCAAGAAAACCCCATGGACAGCATTGGTATGCTATGGTCCATGGGGTCATGAATAGTTGGACAGGACCGAAGAACAACAATAAAAGGCATTGGATGAGATACGTACAATCAGGAAATTTCAGATGCCATTCATCTCCAACCCTACCTGAAAAGATTCCTCTCCAAAATACATCTATCTGACAAGTCTTTGCTTGAATGCTTTTGGTGAGGGGCCCCACCACTTCCTGAGGCCACCCATTCCACTCTTGGATAGCTCTAATTGTTAGGAAGTTTTTTTCTTCCATCATACATAAAGATCCTTCTCTGGCATTTTATACCCAATATGCTTTGTTGTGACCTCTGGAACTAGGCAGAACAAGAAAGCAGCCTGGTAGGGAGGTGAAGAGACTTGAATTTGGAGTCTGAGGTCCTGTTCTTGCTTCTTACTGCCTAGCTCACTGTGGACAACTCATTTCACTTTGAGCCTTTTCCTGAGGATGTTGCACATTTAAAATACTTGAAAGCTATTCAGTGCTTTCTCCCCCTTCCCTCTCCTCTCCTCTCCTCTTCTCTTCTCCAGGCTAAACATTTTCAGGTCCTTCATCCTCACATACTCCAGAAGTGGAATCCTCCACTTCCCTGGCCATCCCAGTGCCCTTTCTCAGGCAGGGCTGAGCTTAGACCCAGGAAGATGTTCATAAGGTATCTATCTGGTACAAGCCCCATGAGAGGCCAGATCTGCTGGAAAAACAAAAAATAAAAGCGGATTTAGGAGCTGAAACTGACCTTGGTGGTCATGTTCACCTCCCCCTTTATTTTGCAGATGAAGAAATTTAAGGTCCAGAGAGATTAAAATCAATCAAAAAGCAATTAATAAGAACTTGCATAAAGGTACACAGACTTTGGACTCTAAATTGCACGCTCTTTTCACTGCAGCAAGCCCTAATAGCAAATGCAAACACTAGCAAACCGGTCACTAATAAGGTATACTCCACAGTAATTCCCCAGGTCCTACCACAGCCTAAATGAAGCCTCGAGCCCATCCAATTCCCTTTGCTCAGTTCTGCTTCCACCCTCACTCAGCAACCTTCTGGTTACTAATTCGGTTTCCCAGATACCTGCATATCAGGCAGGGGGAGGGGCAGGCAATAGATTGTAGGTGCAAGTGCTGGGATGCCTCAGAAGAAGCCCTACATAATAAGCAGACACTACATGGTGGGCACAAATGTCGGGATATGCCCGAGAAAGGCACGGTTTCCACGAGATGTGACTAAACTCGAATTCTTGTGGGTAAGAGTCAGTCTCTCGAGTTTAGTTCCTGAACATTTCCCACAGCGTGACTGCTCCTGCATGAACTGATAAAATCGAATTTCCAAGCCTGCTAAGCTAAGGGCTCGTGCAGGGACCTACAAGTGACCCCACCATACTCCAGGTGGTGTTTTGCATCTGTCCATGCGGACCCAAGGGGCCTGTCTGCTCAGGGGCAGTCACCACGATCATTTCATTAAAGAGGTGGGGGCGCAAGTTGGGGATACCTTGGGCCGGGAGTTGCAGACCCTCGACACTCGCGCGACTGCATGAGGGACTAGGGGCGGGAAAGCCGAGGAGCGCGCCGGTAGCCGCGAGGCCGCGCGTGCGCCGGGAAACCCGTTGGGGGCCAGGCAGCCCAGGTTGGCGCCCCCTCCCCCTTCTCAGCCCCCAGGGGCCCGAGCCCAGCGACCGTCGTCGCGTGCCGCTGCTCGCGCATGCGCCGTTGGTAGACGCTGTTGAGCGGCCGGCGGCGACTTTGGTTTTGTGGTGGGGTGACCACCCTGTGGCCGCCGGCCGGAGCCGAAGCGCCTCTGCCGAGGGGCCCCCACTCCGAACACAGGTGCGTGACTCCGGCCGGGCCACTGAGGAGGGGACGGAGCGGCGAGCGGGGCGGGGGCGAAGGGGCGAGCGTCGGAGTTGGAAGAGGAGAGTCGGCTCAGAGCCGAGAGCCCCTGAGGGGACCCGGACGAGCGTCCTCCTTGGCCCCAGAGAGGGGGGAGGGTTTGAGTGCGCCCGGGGAGCCGGGCTGCTCCGTCGCCCTGCCCCGGCGTGCGGAGATGGGGAGGGGGCTGGCCCGGGCTGGACGCGAGTCCGTTACAGCGGCGGTTACTGTCCTCCCGCCCCCCATCGACGTACCCGGGCGTTGGGCGCTCGAGCTCCGGGTCCCCCCACCCTCCACTGGCCCTTGGGAGGAAGCGCGCGCCCTCGGGGCCGGACTGGTCAGTGGAGTGCGCCCCGGGGCTGGACGGGCGCGAGGGCCCAAGGGGGGACACGGGGCTGTAGGGAGCGCCCTTGGGGGCACGGGACTGGACGGGCGCGCGCTCCCACGGCGGGACTGGGGGAGGGGGCTGGGACTGCCCGGAAGCGCGCCCGCAAGCTCTTCCACTTACCCGGGGACCTGCTTCGGTTAGGGAAGCCGGGTGGATCTGGAGCCGGGAGGCGCTGCCTGCCTCCATCCAGTCTTGGCTCTGCCAGACTTTGGGATATTAGGCAGTACTGGACTTAGCAAGTATTTATTTAGCGCCTACTGTGTGCATTGCCCTGGAGTTGCAGAGATCAAAAGGGAAGCGTTCCCTGCGCTCGAGCTTACATTTTGATGTAGTCGCCTCTGGACCTTTTTTCTTCACCCGCCAAAGTTGACCTAGACAAGAATTCGTAATCTTTATTTCATAGATCCCCCCCCCCCCCCGCTCCCGGGCACTCAGGGGAAGTCTGAACCCCTTTTCAGAATGTTTTAAAATGCATAAAATAAAATACCAAAGGAAACCAATTATATTGAAATACAGCTATAAAAATATTAGAAAAACAAGTTGGTGGTCCCTCGGTTAAGAACTCCCAGCTTAGATGATCTCTGAGGCCGTTTTAAGCTCTAAATCTGTGGTCCCCGACCCCCTTCTGTTTGGTGTCAAGTGGCAAGAGGATTGGATTCGAAGTCCTGGTCCTAGTTCTGGCCTTTTACTACCTATACAACCTTAGGCTTGGTAGCTTTCCTTTTCTGGGAAAAGAGATTGAATTTAGTGATTTCTAAAGGTCTTTTTCGTTTCTAAATCTCAGTTCTTGAACCCTGCACCCTAGATGCAATTAGGAACCCGGTGTGCTCCTGGGGGAGGGAAAGAGGAGGGCAGAGTTAAATCTAACTTTAATTAATAGCTCTGGGTAAGAGACTCATTAGACAGGAAAATGTCTAAAACTTGTTTGTCTGTTTATGGTCAATCAGTGCTTTGCCTATTTCATTTATGACGCTTGCCCCAAGCAAGGACATTAGGCAGTTAAATTTCTCCTGGGATGGGATGAGCAGATAAATCTCATTAGGCTTAGAAGAAAAAAACAAGTTTTAGAGTAGGGGAGAATCCAGTAATATTATGATGGTATGTTGTGGTCTTGACCACCTTTGAAATTTCTTGCAATTTATTACTTTGCTTTTATAGCCTGTAGGAGGAGTAGAGGTGCTACACTTTTTGTTTCCGAATTTTAAGTTTGATCTCTTCCTGATTCATTCTTTTGTCTGAACACTTAACTGATATGATAAATTTGATTATAAATCTTATTCACAGACTTGGTGACATTAATTGTATTGGTATGAAGTGGCATATTCTTTGAATAGAACTTTTTAAAAGTGTGTTACTTGATTTCAGTATTAGAAAATTTTCTGTCCTTTTTAATTGGAAAATTAAAATTAAGTTATGGTAACCATTGCAACAATACTTAAACAGATAGCTTCTGAAGCTTATGAAGTACTATTTGCTAATTTTGACAATTATTTGATTTTTTTCTGAATTGTTGGGCTGAGCAACATAGACTTCTATTTCATCCATTTTTTCCTCCTGATAAGTACTTTTATCCCTTTTAGAACTTTTTATTGATGAGCTCCCTCAAGTGTGATACAATGGAAAAATTCCTAGCTCTGGAGTAAGACGACTTGGGTAGGTTCTGATGCTTCCTCTGATACTTATTTGTTACCTAATGACCTTGAGTAAGTTAATTAACCTTCCTAGAAGAACTTTTGAGGTCTTTTTCTACTCCAGGTCCATGATCTCTTTGAACACTTTAAATAAAGTGAAAAACTCTGCTTAATAAATATTTATGGAATAAAAAAAACTGAACATATGAAAGTGAACAAAACAGACTAGAAACGGTTATAAACATGGGAGCAAAAATCAGTAAACTCAGTGACTGACAAAATGTTGAATCATCACAGATTTTGCAGTTACTAAAGCCAAATTTCTGTGACTTTGGAAATTTGACTTGGAGATTAATTGTAAGAGCAGATGGCGTTTTAGACCCATTTTGTTCATGGTCCATGACTTGTGGGGATGTGGATAAAGAAAACACTTGTTTTATCTTACTAGTTTCCTTTTGACGTCTAGTGGTTCAGTTTGTTTCCATATGCTCATTTAATGAGAAACAAACACTTTTTTGGATATTCTAAACATTTGTGGTAGGGTCTCTGGATGAAAAGACAATTGATTAATCCATTAGAATGGATTAGAAAAGATCTTTTCATCTTTATTTTAATAGGCACCCTGTCTTCATGTCAGTAGGTTCCTGCCTATTGTCTGACACATGTACATCCAGCAGTCTCATCATCATGAATAATATCTGACATTCACAGTGTCTTAATGTTTGCAAAGTGCTTTACACACATTATCTCATTTGAAAATGCCCAATAACTCTGAGTTTAGATATCATAAGTATATTTTCCCCATTTTATAGATGGAAAGTGCATGTATAGGGATTTTCTTTGCCAAGGAGAAGGAAGATGAGAACTAAAAAGGAGATATTGGATACAGTGAATTAGGCCATTGGTTACTGTTTGTTATGAACAGTTAGTTTCAGGAGAGAAATGAGTAAGACCAAGAGCTTGAGAGTAGTGAGGCTACAGAGACAAGTGTAGACAATTTTTCAAGAAAAAATAGTAGATATGTGGACCTAGAAGCCAGAACAGCTATATTCAAATTCTGCCTTCAACACTAACAGTTGTGTGACTCTGAAGTTTGTAAAAGGGAGTTGCGTTTGCAGGGAAAAGATTATGAATGAGTTCTGTTTTGGACATGTTGATTGTGAGATATCTATGAGACATCCAATATGAGATGTCCAGAAGGCGGTTGGCAATGGGAGGAGACTGGAGCTCATGAGAGAGGTTGGGGCTGGGTATATAGATTGTGAATCATCTGCATAGAAATTAATTGTTCATTGAACTCATGGAAGCTGAAGAGATTACCAGACAAGAATAGTGGAAGAGAAGAGGACCAGGGGCATAGCTACACCTATAGTTATTGGGCATGACCCAAATGAAAGTTCAGAAAAAAAGTCTCTGAGGTGGAGCACCAGAAGAAAAAAGTGTCATGAAAGCCTATAAGAGGAGAGAGTATGCAAAAGAAAAGGATGATGGATAATGTCAAAGGCTGCAGAGAGGTCAAGAAGGATATAGATTGAGAGAAAGGCAGTGAATAGATTTGTCAATTAAGAGACTTCAAATCTTCGGGAAGAGTAGTCTTTTTTTTTTTTTAAAGTAGTCTTAATTGAACGATGAGGTAAGAATGAGATTGTTGAGGGTTTAGAATCTATTGAAAGGAAGTAGAGATAGCATGTAGAAACAACATTTTCAAGATGTTTTGCTACCCCTTTAATTTCACGATACCACTACTAAGTCTGGACCCCAAAAAAAGATAAAAGAAAAAGGACCTATGTGTACAAAAATATTGATAGCAGCTCTTTCTGTAGTGGCAAAGGATTGGAAACTGAAGGAATGTCTATCAATTGGGAAAAGGCTAAACAAATTGTGGTGTATGATTGTAATGGAATACTGTTGTGTTTTAAGACATAATGAAGATACTGATTTCAGAAAAATCAACTACATTCCTTTCTCAAAGTTGAACATAGTCAATTAACCACAACTCTTGGGTCCAGTTATTCAATCAATTCTGAATCCACCTAACGTACTTTAGTTTAGCACATCTAGGGAGGTAGAAAGAAGAGGACAGATGATGAGATTTGCTTTATTAAGCAGTAGGGGTGCCAGGAAGAAGCAGGTGATAGTGCTGAGAAATTTGGGTGAACGGTGGACAGGAGGCTAGGGGACTGATAGAGTTCATGTTTGGATCATCACAGTTTCTTTAGAGAAGTAAGCTTCAGTCATCTCTTATAATGGTGATGGTGTGGATGAAGGAAAGGAAAAAAAACTTTGAAATTGTTGAATGGATATATAGAGTAGGATTGTCAACATCAGCTCAGGCCAACCTAAGGTTATGTATCATTTTGATGATATTTTTATGTAACATTTGTAGTATATTCTAGGGACACTTTACATGGTCCTTGGTTTTTATACTTAATAATTTCTTTAAAGAAATTTTATTCTTATTGTACAGTGTGTAGAAGATTTACCCTTCCCCATTTAACATGTCACGTTTATCTCTTATCTATTTCATGGCGTCAGGGTTACCTTGGTCTCAACTGTATTTTGGCCATCATTTTTGTTTGCAAACCTTCAGATGCTATATAATTATTACCATTGCCTATTATCTGATTTGCTCACCACTTTTCAGACCTTTTAATCTAGCTTTTTACTGTAATTTGAATATTTATCTAAATATTTTATACTCTAATTTGGCTTCTGATATGTATCTCTTAATTTATCCACCAGCTGTGCTTTTAAAATTTGTTGGCCAGTCAAAAGATAGTTTTATCCTCTATGTTGGTGTATAAAATTAATTTTCTTAGTCATTTATATTTTAAAAATAAAACTGCATCTAATTTTTTTTATTGAGCTAAATGGGAAAGTTTTGGCAAGTAAGTAGTTAAAATGGATGTAATTTATAGCATACTATGTGCTGTAATTTAATTTAATTTAAAAATTTCATAAAGATGTTTTTATCAGGAGTTACAGTTCCTCAAATCAGTTCACTTTGGGGAATCTAAATAACAGTTTACTTCACCTCTTTTTTAAAAAAAAAGCAGAAAGCAGGGAAGGGGCATCTTGGCCATGAATCAGAGCTAGACCTCAACTAATTTTTTTATGCTCATATGGCAAGTTCCAAGAGCTAATATGATTTACATTTATAAGCATGAAAACATATGTTTTTTAGAAGTCTCTAGTAGGAATTCCCTGAAAGACTTTAAGGTAAGTATTAATTAGTCCATGAGATAGGTGACTTTTCATTGTAAAATGAAATAAAACATTTCCCCCTCCTTTCTAGAAGAAGAAATTAGTCTTATCCCCTCATTCAAAATGAGGAAAAGTGAATGTTTCAGGTATACCTGTTTTTAGGTAGCAAATAAAGCACTATAGTAAATTCATAGTGTTTGCCTTCCCCTTGACTTGAAAAAAATTTAGAGGTGGTTTTTGAAAAATAATAATTGTATTCAATGAGTTAGAATTTTAGGTCTAACTTCTCAGACTTAAGAGGAATAAGTATTAGCTACCAGCCAGATATAGTGTCCAAAAGTAGCTGTCCAC